CCTGCTGAAAAGGCAGCTCAAGCCCTGGGGAAGGATTGCCTCCTTCTCACTTGCCTTGTTCTCAGTTGCCAACATTAAGGTAACATAGTGAGAGCAGATGCAGCCCCACGAAAGCTTTTTATACCATCAGAAGGCAATAATGGCTTAAGGTGCCTCCCCTGGCTGCATCATGGCCTCCTGAAAATGCAGGGCAAAGGATTAATGCCAGGTGAAGGGCGAGTCAGTGTCCAAATATTTACCTGTGTATTTAGGTCACAGCACAATGCCCAGTTGCGTCATTCCCTCGCAACACAGGAAAAAGTGTTCTGTATCCTGGATACGAGTTCAGTACGAAATTGTTCTCCAAGGATTCCAAGGGAAATGCTGGAGCTCAGCAATTTCCTCTGCCCCTCGTGTTGGGCTGCTGTGCCACTGGGCAGTTTTGTGCCAGACAACAGAAGGGAGAGTGAAGTCGTCCTGGCCACAAAATGTGTGTCAGAGAGTGAAAAGAGCCTTTACCACAAGACCTCAGAGAGAAGGGCTTGGGCCTTTCACCTTCTCAGTGTACATTTGTAGGGTCCTCAGCTTGAAAGTATTTCTCCTCTGCATCCGCTGTGCCTACTAGGAAGGCCACAGCTGCACCAGTGCCTCCCACTATCAGTAAAGGCACATTCCCAGGCATGCACTTGCAGTCAGAATCTTTGGTAGCTTGGAAGCATTTGAGGACATGAATTTCTTCTTTTCTCCCATGAGGTCTTAGCAGGCGATCCCATTCCTTCTTCCCTTGCAGGCAAAGTGATACGGGGTCTCCACACACCCATATCCCAGACATACTTACCCCTAATCCAAGTGGTGGAGTCCCCGATATCCTTCATTGCAGCCTTGCTGTCATCACATAGGAGTGCAGCTTGCTTCATGGGCTTGCCTTAAAAAGATCTGTGGGTCTGTGCCACGGCTCCTCCCCAGCTGATGCCACCTTTACTAAAGCAGAGTAGCACCCAGGCCATTCTCCTGTAACCCCTTGTTTGCAGGAACCTTGTGTTAATCAAAGTCTCACTGTACACAAACTATACACAAGGTGGCCTCATGTCTTTAGGTATGATTTAATGTGAGATAAACAAAACCGTAAGAGAAACAATGACGGTTCCCAAAGACACATGGGTTGAGCCCTCTCATCTTTACATCTGGCATTATGGTTGGAAATACTTTCAGCGATACAACTATTGTGGAGTAACTAATCCAAGAAGTTTGAATGTTATCATGAGACTGTCCCTGGCCTGCCCAGTTGTCCAACTTACTTCATTGTTCTTTGATGATTTTGTGTGAAACCCAGCATCCACTTCTAGCAAAAGTAATAATTTGTTTTCATTCATTATTAACTTACTTTTAGGCAAATGAATTTCTGGACAATTTTCACATTTGCTAAAGAAAAACTCCTTCTTTCGATTCAAGTAGTATTTTATTTTTTAAAACTTCAGGGTCTTAGAATTAAATTAATTGCTTAATGTAGACTTGAATGCATGGACATATCCTGAAGGAAATACCAAAAACATTTTAAGGAGAAATAATCAGTCTTTCTTTCATGTCACAGTCTAAGCTCTTTTCGATATTTTGCATCACTTTAAATTTTCTCTATTTTTAAAATTAATTTTTATTGTCATATAGTTGATTTACAGTGTTGTGTTAGTTTCTGCTGTACAGCCAAGTGAATTAGTTATATGCATACCTATACCTACTCTTTTTTAGATTCTTTTCCCGTGCAGGTCATTACAGAGTATTGAGTAGGGTTCCCTGTGCTATACAGTAGGTCCTTATCAGTTACCTATTTTATATATAGTAGTGTGTATATGTCAACTCCTCCCAATTTATCCACCCCCCCCCCTTCCCCCTTGGTAACCATAAGTTTGTTTTCTACATCCGTGACTCTATTTCTGTTTTGTATATAAGTTCATTTGTACCATTTTTTAAGATTCCACATATAAGCGATATCATATG